GGGGGGGGGGGGGGGGGCCTTGTTCTTTGTCGGTTAGTACATGTTAGTGGGTTAGACGTGCACTTCCCCCCCTTTCCAATTCCATGCATAGAACTATGTGGAGACTACGTCTACCTCCTGTGGGGAGTCTGGTCTCTGTACCCGCGGGGATGGTTTGACATAGGGTTTGATTTGGTTCGCATGCACCCATTTGTAGACAGGCTCCTGTCTTGCTTTGGTGATGCGTAACCTGTATGCAACTGGAGAGAGTTTTGCCACGATCTCAAATGGTCCCGACCAGCATGACAGAAACTTCTTAGCTCTGCCCGCCGGTTGGGCGAACCGGAAGTAGAATGCCTTGTCACCCACCTCGTATTCGCGGCTGGTTGTCTTTTGGTCGTAGTAGGCTTTAGCGCCTTCTACGTTGGACTCCAGTTACTTCTGAGCGTGCGCAAACATAGCTCTGAGGTGTGTTTTCAAGTCTGCCACATACTGATGAGCGGTATAGGCAGTGGCAACACTGACATCTTCTGGGTGATACAGGAGGTGCAGTGGTAGGGTCATCAGTCTTCCGGTAATCATCTCAAAGGGCGTAACCCCTGTAGCGGAATATAATTGGTATATTCTTACACTTTTATTAAGGTCCTGAGATATCACTGATCCAAACCTGAGCTGGATCATTAATCTTTGGACCGGGCCCTTAGAATCAAAAGAGGTTGTTTTTACTACAGGGAATTTTATTCAAACACCTTGTATTGAATTAGAGATTCAAACACCTTGTATTGAATTAGAGACAAGAGAGGAGAGAGAGAGAGAGAGAGAGAGAGAGAGAGAGAGAGAGAGAGAGAGAGAGAGAGAGAGAGAGAGAGAGAGAGAGAGAGAGAGAGAGAGAGAGAGAGAGAGAGAGAGAGAGAGAGAGAGAGAGAGAGAGAGAGAGAGAGAGAGAGAGAGAGAGACGAGAGAGAGAGAGAGAGAGAGAGAGAGAGAGAGAGAGAGAGAGAGAGAGAGAGAGAGAGAGAGAGAGAGAGAGAGAGAGAGAGAGAGAGAGAGAGAGAGAGAGAGAGAGAGAGAGAGAGAGAGAGAAGAGAGAGAGAGAGAGAGAGAGAGAGGTGGGACGTTTAAGAATATTTATTTTATAATTATTTGAAACAATCACCAGGACTAACTCTCTAATGATGGATGCAGATGAATGTAATGCTGAAGTGTTGGTGTGTGTGTGTGTGTGTCAGTTCAGAATCTCCATCTGGTGGAGGCGAGTCTGAGTGCGAGATGTTGTTTGCTCCTAACTGACCGACGATGGACTTCAGGAGGAAGACATGAGACGCTATCTATGCCGATCTACGTACCGTGTAGAGACTTCCGTGTTAGATCCGGATGCCAGGTCCTCTGACCCTCCTTGGTGCTGGAACTGGTGAAACAGCGTCGGCAGCATGACAAACCAGTCTATGGATCGTCTCCCGGTACAACGGCAGGTTTTCAGCGTCACGTAGAGATCCCCCTTTTTGGGTCAGAGAGTTCAGCTTTTATTCTGAAGGAACCGTCGTCTTGTTGATAAAACGACAGAGTTTTCCAGCTTGACAGTTCTCAGCTTAAAAGTAGAAAATACAGCTGGCCAGTCTGTACTTCACTTAGCGATGATGGACATCAGATGGATTTGAGAGCTGGTTGAGTACTTAGTTGGAACCTAGTTGGAACTCCGTTGGAACTGCGTTGAACTGTTAAAATAGCGTTGTTCTGTTTTATTAAGCTTAGTTGTTTATGATTCTTAGCGAATCGGAGTGGACAGATTAACTAAACACCAAAGAACTCTGCCACGCATCAGAAAGGAAGTTCTGATTGGATTGAAGTGAACAATGTGTCGTGTTTACCTTATGTGGATCAGGATGTCTAGCTCAGTTAGCCCAAAGATCCTGTTATTCATTAAACACATAAATCATAACATTGTGATTTCACAGATCGGTCACTCTGATTATTATGACCAACAGTTGTTTTGATTAGCCTTTATTAAAAATAAAGTTCTTTGATTAACTAATGAAAAGCGTTCTTCGTCCTTCTGTCTTCTTTGCTGGAATGTAAACATCAGAAGCAAACGCACGACCTTGGCAATTTATGCACACTGTCACTGTGTCAAAGGGCAGCTGTTAAGGGCAGAAATGGCATATTCATAGCGCTACACCCCCGTGGATCGCTGGGGAGTGGACCGTATGGCCATCAGGACCAGAGGGAGCTTAACGTCCCAGTCCTTCCCAGTGGAGCAGACGTACTTTTTTGAGCATGGAGACGACCGTGTGGTTCATCCGTTCGACCTGTCCGGATGACTGTGGGCTATAGGGGAGGTGGAATTTCACTTCCACTCCCAGAAGTTCAAACAGGGACGTCATTACACTGGATGTGAAATGAGTTCCCCGGTCAGAGTCGATGCAGAGTGGAAGTCCCCATCGACTGAAAACGTGGTTAATCAGCAGTACAGCGGTTGTGATGGCTGTGTTGTTTGGCGCTGAAACGGGTTCAAGTTCAACATTTTTGGGGAAGGAAAGACAGGAAATCGGACGCGGAAACGGAGCGAAGCTCCCGAGATTTCCAGAATAAAGGTTGCTTTACTTAAAAAAAAAAAGTTACTAACTGTGCGGCCCCATGAGAAGTTATCACCTAGCTAGCGGTCTCCTTTGTTTTTTCAGGACCGTATTGGTGATTATAAAACGGACAGAACATAAAACACAAACCTTTTGGAGCCATGTTGTAATTTTCTCCTGCTTGTTGTGTTTACTGACGAAGTCACTCGTGTGACTTCGTGCTCGGTCGGTGACAGCTGCTCCCCTGCTGCTTCGCGTCTCGTGGGAAGGGCCAAGCAGCAGCTTACGCGAGCAAGCAAGACGTGCTGCTGACTGCTCTGGTGGAAAGAAGGGGTAAGACTGAAGCTATTTTAGTAGGCACCCTACACCAGGTTTGGTCATCTAACATCAACTGTATTACCTTTTCTGGTGAGGATGTCCCACTGTCAACATCTGTTATAAACCTCGGGGTTAAAATGGACTCGAGTTTGATGTATGAGGCCCAGGTCAAGCATCTGTGTAAAACGTCTTTTTTCCACCTCAGGAATATAGCAAAACTGCGTTCAGCACTAACGTTTGCTGATGCTGAAAAGTTGGTCCATGCGTTTGTCTCCTCCAAAGCTGGGTTTATGCAATGCACTTCTCATTGGGACTACTGGAAAAATCCTTCAAAAGCTGCAGCATATTCAGAACTGTGCTCCTAGGATCATGATGAGAGGATGCAAATATGACCATATTATGCCCATTCTTAAATCTCTTTACTGGCTCCCTGTTTCATCTAGAATTGAATACAAGGTTGCCCTTCTCACCCACCAGTGTATTTATGGGGATGCCTCCCCTACCTTAAAGAACTTCTGTTTTCACAGATGTCCACACGCAACCGCCGCTCTGCATCAGTACATCTTTTGAAAACTCCAAAGACTAAACTTTGCACCATGGGAGATCGCGCTTTTTGCTCAGCTGCACCCAGACTTTGGAATTCCCTCCCAGGGCATGTGAGGATACCACAGACTATTGGTGCTTTTAAATCTGGTCTTAAAACTTCACTTTTTACCAGAGCTTTCGGGTTAAATTAACTTTGTAGCACTTTGAGATTTGTTTGAAATGTAAAGTGCTTTATAAATCAAATGTATTATTGTTCGTCGTCGTCTTCCTCCGCTTATCCGGGTCCTGGTCACGGGGGCAGCATCCCAACTAGGGAGGTCCAGGCCGTCCTCTCCCCAGCCACCTCCACCAGCTCCTCCGGCAGGACCCCAAGGAGTTCCCGGACCAGATTGGAGATGTAACCTCTCCAACGTGTCCTGGGTCGACCCGGGGGCCTCCTGCCGGCAGGACATGCCCGAAACACCTCCCTAGGGAGGCGTCCAGGAGGCATCCTGACCAGATGCCCAAACCACCTCAACTGACTCCTTTCGATCTGGAGGAGCAGCGGTTCTACTCCGAGTCCCTCCCGAATGTCCGAGCTCCTCACCCTATCTCTAAGGCTGAGCCCGGCCACCCTACGGAGGAAACTCATTTTGGCCGCTTGTATCCACGATCTCGTTCTTTCGGTCATTACCCAAAGCTCATGACCATAGCTGAGGATTGGGACGTAGATGGACCGGTAAATCGAGAGCCTGGCTTTCTGGCTCAGCTCCCTCTTCACCACGACAGATCGGCTCAGCGTCCGCATCGCTGCAGACGCCGAACCAATCCGCCTGTCGATCTCCCGATCCCTCCTACCCTCACTCGTGAACAAGTCCCCGAGATACTTAAACTCCTCCACTTGAGGTAGGACCTCTCTCCCGACCCGGAGGTGGCAAGCCACCCTTTTCCGGTCGAGAACCATGGTCTCAGATTTGGAGGTGTATTATTATTATTATTATTATTATTATTATTATTATTATTATTATTATTATTATTATTATTGTCAGTCGTACACAAATAGCCAATTTAGTTCCGATTGAATATCTCTTACATTTGTTTTATAATCCTTTTTAATACAAATTGTGCAGCTCTGTTTTGGATTTTCTGTAGTTTTTCAATTGTTCCTAAATTTGCATTTGACCACACTATAGACAAATGATCCAAGTTTGATGATAGCAGATTATGACTAGAAGAACAAAATTGCAAATACACAAGCAGCCACAATGAGAAGAAGAAAACGTTATCATATATATGGCGCCTCTCAAGATGAAAATCACAAGGCGCTGAGATCCAGGAGACCATTGGAGTAGAGCTGCTGCTGCTGTCTAGACCTCCCTGCTAGGGGCTCCGTCCGCAAGAAGACCCAGGGCCAGTTAGACGAAGGAAGATGAGACAAAACAAACTGAACAAAAATAGAATTGCTACGATGGTTTTATTTTTTTAAATCCTCATTTACTGCTGAGCTTGGTAAACCACAGGATGTAGTGAACCTAACTAACTGTGGGCTTTAAAATGTATTTCATGTGTATGGGTGGAATACAGAGAAGGTCAAATGACAGCAGGTTGAAGATAGAAATATTTATTATGGCTGTACCAAAGTAAATGATCATTAAACCACAGAACTCATAACAGACAGCCATACCGCTAAAAATTGAAAAAGAAAGCACTGTGACGCAAATCTGATTTACGCGTCAATGCTAAAAGTTTATTCGTGTGTCGTCATTTCGGCTGTACAGGCAGGGCTAGCTGTGAAACAGATCCAGTTAACAGAACACATGCAATGAAGATAAAGAAAAAGCAGCAGCAACAACAGCACGAAGGAAAAGTAAACTATGAAAGCAGACGAGCACCTCGGAATCGTGCTGGGATTCGTCACAGATGCCGACCACAGGAAGTGAACATGCAGTGACGACCGACGACTTTACACCAGGACTTAAATCTTAGTTTCTAGTTTTGAAATGTTTTGTCCCAAACGACAATCCCACCGCAGTTCGGTAAACTCTCTCTTATTTCCAAGTGCACTTTAACAGTTGTTTTCTGGACTAAAGACTTCTAGGTATCAACTACTCTGTTTTTCGACCATCAGACGCTTCCCGTCGATGTCGTTGGATTAGTATCTTCCTGTTGCCCTTCTCTCGTCTTTTCCCTCTGTGTGTCATTTTGGTTTGGGAACTTGTCGGAAACACCATCAGGGGCGGTGTTAAACTCACGAGCGCCGACGTGTGAGCGGAGTGGCGTGGACTCAGAGAAGTGGCTTGGAACAGTCTGGAGCTGGAGTTCTTTACTGATTTCAGACTCCAGAGCGGACTCTACTGAGGGGAGCATGGGGGTGAGGTTAGGGGTGAGGTTTGGGTTTTCACTGAGGAAGGCGGGGGTGTCGCCCACAGGGCCTTCTGTCTGATAGTGCTGCATGGGGGGGTTGTTGTGGAAGGAGCCGCTGAGGCTCACCAGTGTGCTGTTAGAGTAACTCATGACAGACGGGAGTGGGACTGGGTAAGGCGGCGGACTCTGCCCGTGCAGTGAACAGTCCCAATCTTCCTCTTCTTCATCATCTTCCTCATCCTCCTCCTCATCCTCTTCCTCGTCTTCTTCCTCCTCCTCTGGGTTGAGGGTTTCCAGGCTGTGTGTGCTACAGTCCGACAGCCCGCTGCAAATGCTGCTGCCATCTTCGTCATAAGCTTCGTCCTCCTCATCCTCTTCTTCTTCTTCTTCTTCATCGTCTTCCTCATCCTCTTCCTCCTCTTCCTTCATTTCCATGTCATTCTGGAGGTGCATGGTGGGTTCTTGCAGCAGGGTTTGAGGGTTCAGCGGCTGCTGTTGGAGGAAGGTGGAGTTGCTATGGTAACCGTTGCCGTTGGTAACGAGCTGCTGCTGCTCGGTCTGCTGATGCTGAAACTGCTCCTCACGGCCCTTCTCCAGCTCCAGCTTCATGATGGTGTGCAGGAAGTGGGTGCGCACTCGGACCGGATTGAACTCCAGCCTCCCTGAGCCGTTGCTGCAGCCTTCCTTGGTGCAGCCGCAGGGGAAGGACATGCGGTCCACCTGAGACATCAGGTACACACACAAGTTCAGAACAGGAGTCAAATATGAAAAAAAGCTGTTCTGCCAACTAAAGCTGGCTATGTGTGATAAAAACCTGCAGAATCATCTGTAGGTAGTAATAATGTATTAATTAGCTAACAACCACAGGTAGCCTAATGCAGGGGCGGATTTAGCAATTTGGGGGCCCAAGGCGAACACAGACATGGGCCCCCTACACTAAATTTTCGACAATCTTACCTTTAACTGGATTTGCGAAACTCTCCCCTCTTCTGACATGAGTTATTTTCCCTTTTTATTAGTCCTCCTCTTTTTTCCTGTACTTCCCTCCCTTTGAGTGCCTTCAACATTTGCTCTGCTTTCTTCTTGTCAGCGCTCCTGTGCTTTAGCCTTAGTTTTTTTTTTCTATTTTCCATTTTGGTCTAGGTTTTCCTCCCTTTAAACATTTTCCATTGTCTTTCCTCTTCTGCTTCCTTTTGATGTTTACATTGAAAAACGACGTCACTTTCAGAAGTGAAAATAAAAGCTTTTATGAAGCATGCTGCTTCTTTCTCTTATTGGAGCCACTAGGATAACTCCATTTCATGCTTAATGGTTTGACAATCGCTTTGCGTTTGTTACGAACGCTCCCGCCTCTCTTCTTATTCTTATTTGTGGTCTTATGGCACTTGGCAAACAACAATTTGGTGCATTACCGCCACCAACTGGATTGGAGTGGAATGACTACCAATCACTTCCTGTTTGTGCATCGCCGTCTTAATAACCCTCTTATGACCATAATTATAACAGGGCCGCCTGGTATTTTTTTAATCTTATGGCTGTAAAATTGTAATAAAAAGTGCAAAGTGTGTGTAACTCTTCTTTTTTCAGAACAACCTCATCTTTCAGTGTATGGTTTGTATTTCCAAACCACTTCAACATTTCACGAAAAGAAACTCCTCCAGCTTCACTGGCTGCCAGTCAACTTCAGGGTTCATTTCTTAATCCTGGTTCTGGTCTATAGGGCCTTACATGGACAAGCACCATCTTACATTGGTGATCTTCTCAGTCCCTACACCCCCAGTAGGTCCCTGAGGTCCAGTGATCAAAGCCTACTGGTTGTGCAGCACCAGGCTAAAGGTCAAAGGTGACAGATCATCTGCTGCTGTGGCCCCCAGACTCTGGAACTCTCTCCCCCTGAGCCTGAGATCAGTGGACTCAGTGGTCTCCTTTAAAAAGCAGCTGAAGACTCACTTGTTCAAGCTGGCTTTTGTATGACCTTCTTCACCACTCTCTCTTTATTCTGCTCTCCCCACCTATTCCACCTTCCTCATGATCCACTGATTTCCCTCCTTCCTGTTCACTCGCTCTCTTTTTTAACATTTTTTCTTTTAAATCACAATTGCCTATTTTTTGCTCATTTTAAATATATTTTTAAACATTTTCTAAATGCTTTTTTAAATACATTTTTTTGTTAATGTGAAGCGCCTCGTGATTTTTATCTTGAGGCGCTATAGAAATGATAGTTTCTTCTTCTATTTAGAATTTATTTCTATTACAGCCTTTAAAAAATCAGCTTAAAAGTGAAAAAAGCAAAAAACGGATTTGAATTTTTTACATTTATTACTGAACAGGAACTTCAAAATGACTGGGCAAACAATTTAAACTTTGAACTGAAATGCATCTATTCTTAAAAAAGTTTGAACCTTGGTATCTTTTTTAGCTGTTTTTAAGACCATTTATTTTTGTAAACTTTCAGACGTTTTTATTTGACGGTAGACCTTGAAGCAGCTTCTCTCCAGCTGCAGGCAGAGCGCGCCTCACACTGCCATGGGGTGCTTCTCTGGCACACCATGCACTGCTATACCAAAAACTTTTGTTTTAGCAAAAATAATTATTTATAGTAAAAAGATAAATAATACTGGAATGAAGCTGAATCTTACAATTAGCAAATAGTTGAGGGTTGTTCAGATAAAAAAAAAATAAAAAATAAAGACTGAACAAACGTTCATATCCTGGTTCACCGGAGATCTGTCTTTCTTCATGGTCACTGTCTTCAGATATAAGCCTTCTGGGACACCTAACAGATCGTGTTTATTTTCTTTGAGACATTTCCATAATTTCATGCTGGTTTTTATGCTAATTAGCTTCCCTGTTCCGTTATCCGCTTTCACCGCGGCGCTGCGCTCCGTTTCAATCAGGCTGTACAGCAGAATTTCCCCTCGTAGCGATATTTTCCCTAACTGATTGCTTCATGCTATAGATCGTTGGAAAGCTGCTTTTATGTACTTTTAGGAACCGTTGGAATTTCTTGGATCAGATCAGCCATTCAAAAGTTATAAACGTGAGCATTTTGGATGACTAACTCAGCACGTCTCTGAATCTGTGTTGTGATTCGTTGCGCTCAAGACAGGGAATCCCGGTGGCTACCGTAATGTATTGTATATGCACGAAAAGCCCCATTTTTAATCTTTTCAACACTTTTGGAATTTTAATGATATCTTTAACGGTTCAGGAATTATGGTAATGAGAAGTGCGCATGTCCAATCCCGTCTGCGGCCACAGGTTGGTAATAATGTGGTGGCATTAACAGAGGGGTGCCGGTGGTCAGGGCTAGGGGGCCCCCCAACACATGGGGGCCCCAGGCGGCCGCCTACCTATGCCTAATGGTAAAACCGCCTCTGGCCTAATGACTAATAGCACACACATGTTTATAGACACAAAAATAAAACTGTTTGGTCATTTTGGTTGGTAGATAGTCAAAATTACACAAAAATACATCTTAAAACTTTACTTTTCAGATGGATTTGTAAAACGAGAAGTGACACTTTCCACAAGACATTCTTAGGTGATGATGAGTCATAAAGTGATTTTCCAGCCTTTTTCTATGGCGCGGTATGGGGGCCAAAATTAAGACTACTGCCCAGCAGCAGGAGGCTGTATATATTTTGAAGCAAACTACTGATCTGATCAATGATAAGCTGGCGCCAGAAACTGAGAGGCTGTTGCTGCTTACTGAGGAATAGCACCTTTACCGGCGTTACTACTAGATACGCTAGGGACTAGCAGCCCTCGGCTGGTCATTGACTGGTTCAAACACTCCTTCTGCTGTCTTTTAGCATGGATAGGCTAGCGTTAGCCAGGACGGGTTGGTGTTAGCATTGGAGAGGCTAGCCATTAGCATGCCTAGGCTGGCCACTAGCTGGATTTCCTACCTCCTCAACGGACCATTAGCATGGATAGGCTGGCATTAGCATCGGAGAGGCTAGCCATTAGCGTGCCTAGGCATGCCACTAGCTGGATTTCCTACCCCCTTGACGGACCTTAAGCATGGATAGGCTGGCATTAGCATCGGAGAGGCTAGCCATTAGCATGTCTCAGAGAGTCACTAGTCAGCTAGTGGCCAGCCTAGTCCTATTTCCTGATATTTGGACATTTCACCTCTTATTGGATAATAACACCTATCTACCACTGACTATGTTTGCTTTGCGATGTTGATGTTTTACCTCCATGAATATCATAAACCTGAAGGAGTTCTGCTGTGTGGTAGAGTTGCTAATGCTAATGGTTAGCTTCTACCTTCCGGGCGCTAAACCAACAACAGCCTTTCCCGTTGTGAGTCAAGATAGGTGAATCCATGACTATTAAGTGACAGAGTGATGTAGATCTGTCAGGCTTCTCTAATCCTAGAGTTGGGAGATCAGGGGTTCAATTCCTGGTCGGGTCATACCAAAGACTTAGAAAAAAATGGGACCCAATGCCTCCCTGCTTGACACTCAGCATTAAGGGGTTGGATTGGGGGGGTTAAACCACCAAATGGTTCCCGAGCGCGGCTGTGTCTGCAGCTCACCGCTCCCCCAGGGGATGGGTCAAATGCGGAGAACAAATTTTGCTCACACATCAGTGTGTGTGACAACTAATGGGACTTTAACTTTAATTTTAAAGCAAGAGATAGGGGTAGACTATTATTTTCATGTTCATCATGCTTGTTAAAATCAGACTGACTGGTCATTTAATAAATAATCAATAGAAATGCTTTCGTGGCGAACCTGCTCTTTAAAATAAAAACAGCTCCACTCCCTCACTGCACATGCACTACTCACCACCTCTGCTGTGACTACCTTTGTTTTGCTTTCTCAGAAGTGATGTGATGGTTGTTCTAACTTCTTATTTCTGCACAGACAGACATTAACACTTTAGTATTACAGATGGGCCTCACCACTGTTCCATTTACCTGGCACTTAATGCCGGCCAGGCTGCAAGCACAACTCTCTGGGTCACAAATCCCCCGGCAGCGACACCCACACTCCTCTCTAGACATCCTCAGGATGCGCAGCTCATGCTTCTCATCTACATCTATGCGACGGACCCCTGAGGCACGTAGAAGTGCGCGACGCCTCCTGGTTGTCAAAGGCTGGAGGAAGAAGTAATCGTCCACCTCTGTGTTGTCCACGTCCAGATCGTCTTCTGAGATGTCGTCAAGTGTGAGAGTGTCCGCCTCCAAGGACGACATGGTGCCATTTTTAGTCAACTGGAAGAAAATAGAAAACAGAGCATTAAAAAAATCAAATTGCACTAGGAAGCCTTGTAATGGTTGCGTTTCATATTTCCGTCCCACTGACTTTGAGTCTTATAGCATTGAGTTTCTCCTCTTTGAGATGATCCCGCAGCATGTTCCGATGGCTCAGTTTCTGCTCCATGGCAAACTCCCTCAGAGTGAAGCGCCTGACGCCACTGTGACGAGGTGACATCCCCAGGGTGCTGCCACCTTGTGTGGGCACCGTGGTGAAGCCCTGCCTCCGGGTGAAGTAGTACACTGTCACGCTCTCGAAGTGCACGTTACGGCCACGGAGTCGCTTTGATGGCTGCTGGGGAGAAGCTGGGATCAAGACAGAGGTGGGGAAATGTTATCATATTTGTTTAAATTTACATATGTTTGTTAGCATTAGCATGTAGCTCTAAGCTGTGAGGAGCAGAATTTTATCATTATATTCATTCCAGACTTTTTTTAGTTTGATGGTTTTAAAACGTACCCGTTTGCTACATTAGTGCTAGCGCAATGTTAGCTATCTCTAAATTTGTTTTTATTATTTTTCTCTTAACCCTTTCTAACAGATTAGAAAATGAGATCTTAAATTTAAATCATCCCCTAATTTTTATAGTCATAGTTCCAACAACTCATCACAAAGCAACCTAAGTTCAACAATAAAATTAAATAGTTTTTTCCAGCAAAAATGTGAAAATTATACACCACAGAAAATAGTGAGTGGTGAACAACATATAAAGGGGTCATTAGAATAACTATCTCCCCTGTAAGTTGCCCTAGGCCCCCCGTGGTAGACTACAATAATAAGCTTGTTACATGGAACTCATCATACAGAGTAATGTAATTACTGTGTAACTGAGTAAATAGATAAACACAACAACAAAAAATTGTGTTATTAATGATATCAATAATAACAACAATAATGTTAATAATAATGGTATTAATAATAATAATAATAATAATAATGTCGTATTAATAATAATATTGTCTTAATAATAATAATAACAATAATAATGTCATAATAATAATATTATTATTTTTATTAAGACATTATTATTGTTATTATTAGTATAACAATAATAATAAACAAAGATGGTTGGAACATACAGTTCTGCTGCTGGCTCTACTGTAAAGTGTTTTCGCATGATTCCAACTCAATTTTTTTAAATATTGGGAAATCATTAACCATGGATCAATTGTCATGATAATCATAACATTTTAATTCTCATAGTCATATAATTAGAATTTTATTTAAAAAAGAATTTCATAAAAACATACTAAAAAAGAAACAAACAATTAAAAGATTTGATGAAAATGACAAAGAAATATTGATTCAAAAGTGTAAGGAAAGGCAGAGAGAAAATGAAGAAGTAGATAATCAGTGGATCCTGCTAAAGGCAGGGTTGGTAGATAGAGCAGAACAAGGACAGGGTGATGAAGGTCATACAAAACCAGCTTGAACAGGTGAGACTTCAGCTGCTTTTTAAAGGAGACCACTGAGTCCACTGATCTCAGGCTCAGGGGAGAGAGGTCCAGAGTCTGGGGGCCACAGCAGCAAATGATCTGTCACCTTTGGTCTTTAGCCTGGTGCTGCACAACCAGTAGGCTTTGAACACTGGACCTCAGGGACCTGCTGGTGGTGTAGGGACTGAGAAGATCACCAATGTAAGATGGTGCTTGTCCATGTAAGGCCCTATAGACCAGAACCAGGATCTTGAAATGAACCCTGAAGTTGACTGGCAGCCAGTGAAGCTGGAGGAGAAGCGGGGTGATGTGGGTGTGTTTGGAGGACTTGGTCAGAAGCCGAGCACAGGCCTTCTGAACCACCTGTAGACGGTTCAGGGAGGTTCTGCTCAGACACGTGAAAAGAGAGTTACAGTAGTCTAACGCCGGGGACACACCGGCCGCGGAAGCGCCGAGAAGCGAATCGCTCACGAAATTCGGCCGCTGCTTGCCGCTCCTCAGTTCAGATCAGACACGCCCCAGTCGAGGCGCGCCTCGGCTCAGCTGTAGTTTTTCTTTTAAACACTTGGTGTCCTCCATTTCCTCTCTGCCTTTTCTCAGCTCTTTTCCTCTACGCGTGTGTGTGTGTGTGTGTGTGTGTGTGTGTGTGTGTACGTATGGTATGAGTTGTTTCTGCCAGTTGAATCTCTTGGAACCCGCTCCAGTTCTGCAGCTGTATCCTAGCAGTTGCTTCCTAAATGGGTACGTAAATAATCATGTTTTTCGGGGGTCGTACAGCTCCTTGTGTTTCTCAATTTCCATAATTAATTTAAAGTCATCCATCCTAACTGCTTGCCTCAGACTTTCTGCCTCTCTGTCCTGTTTGCTCCGGTGAAAAGACACCCAAAACCACTCCCCCCTTCACGTGGTCACACGCGCACACAAGTTCGATGTGTGTGTATGTGTGTGTGTGTTCATGTGGTTTTTCTGCAGTGTCTGTTTACGAACACATTTGACTATTGCGGAATTTTATTTTGAAATGCTTTATTTTGTTAACTTTACCGGCCTGCCTCTTATGTCTACGTTTGACTTCCTGCCAGAATTGACGCGATTCACCCGCGGCTCGTGAAAAAAATAGAGCCAACGCCGAAATGATCGCTGCACGGCGCGGGCTGGAGCGCCGGCGCGAGGCGATTCGCGGCGCTTCGGCGGCCCATGTGGTCTATAGAATAGCTTAATAAGGGCGCCGAATGAAGGCGGTCCCATTTTCGCGGCGCTTCGCAGCGCTTCCGCGGCCAGTGTGTCCCCGGCGCGTAAGCGTGAGGAGATGAAGGTGTGGATAACTGTCTCAAGTTCAGAGCGGGACAGAATGGGACTCAGCTTGGCAACGTTCCTGAGATGGAAGAAGGAAGAGCGAACAAGAGAACTAACATGAGAGTCCAGGGTGAGAGCTGGGTCAAAGGTCACGCCAAGATTCCTGACAGGTTTGGTGTGAGAAGCAAGCTGAGCAAGAGAGTCTCTGACTTTGGGAACCAGCTTGTCTGGGGCACAGATGAAGATCTCAGTCTTATCTACACACACACACACACACACACACACACACACACACACACACACACACACACACACACACACACACACACACACACACACACACACAAACACAAACACACACACACACATACACACACACACACACACACACACACACACACACTGCCAGACACAGCAAATCAGGATTTTAAATCAGAGTCAGAAAGTCTCCAAAAGCAAGACTGCTGAGGCCGCTTTTGTTTCATAATGAAGACATCGCAAACTTCTTCGCACTCTGAACAAACACACCCAGGCTGGGAGGGCAGAGCAGAGGGTAGTAGAGTGGAGCCAATGCAAGTGTGTAAGTGGCATAAGCAGGTGTGTAACAGCTGCAGTTCAGACATCTCATGGGTCTTAAAGGAGATGTACAGTTGGATGTCATCTGCATAACGATGGTAGGAAATTCCTTTAAAGGAGTTTAGGATGTGCTGATGAGGAAGCAGATAAAGGAGGAAGAGTAGAGGCCCCAGCACAGAACAGCCTAAGAGAAGGAACGCTCATCCCGGTATCATACTGGAGGCATTGGCGGCGCAAAACGGCAGCGGAATGGTTTACTCGCGAACTTCAAAGCCATCCTTTTCAACCGGGAGAGTGTTGGCAGCAGCACGGGTTCCTCTTCGCTGGACTCGCGAGATCCCAAGATCACTCGACACTTCAGGTCAAGGTTAGTTTATGCAATCCACCATTAAAACAAAATGAAGGAAATCACGTTTGATATTGCTGTTTGATGTCATTTACAACATTTTTCCTCTCTGCCAGGATTATGGCCATATAAACACACCGCTGCACTTCTGAAACAATACTGCGAGTAAATGACCCATGGGGTCACACGTAAGTAGGGCTGGGCGATATGACGATTTTAGACCGTTTTATGATCTACACATCTGACGGTCTGTCATTTTTGAGAGACCTTTTTATCACGATTCACAGCTCTGCTGTTGAAATTCTGCCTCTGAATGAAAAGGGAACTTACCTCAGGCGAATGACACACCTTTGTTTGACCCTTAACCAATCAGAGTGAGTCATAGTAATATATTAGTGCCCCGCTTGTTTTCACCTGTGTGTGAACAAACATGGCTTCAGGCGCGGCTGAGAGCGACAACGAGGTTTTCGTTCCGAAGAGGAACGCCTCGTCCGTTATATGGAACTGGTTTGGTTTTTCACCAGATGACAAAGAGCAGCGAAACGTCATTTGCAAGCAGAGCGTCAAGGCAAGTGATGGCAACACCACAAACTTGTTTAATCACTTAAAAAGAAGGCATCCCAAACAATACAATGAGAGCCAGCTGGCAGCTAAAGCTAAAAAGCCTGCGGCTACAGCGGCTAGTGCTTCTTCCAGGCAACAAACGCTAACAGAAACACACAAAACTCACTCCCTACGACAGAGACAGCAGACGATGGAACAGCGTGACAGATGCAGTGACGTACCACTTGGTTAAAGATTTGTGTCCCGTGCGAACAGTAGGAGTGGGATTTAAGAAAATGATAAAAACATTGGATCCGCGCTACGAGTTTTCCAGCCGCAAGTATTTTTCGAACACCGCCATTCCACGCATGTACGCTGAATGCAAAGTGAGAGCTGCAGAAAATATTCAGAATGCGCAGTTATTTGCTACCACAAGCGATCTCTGGTCCAGCCGCACATCAGAGCCGTGTTTGAGCTTAATTATCCACTACATGAGCAACTGGGAGCTACATAGTATTTTGAACAAGTTAATGTTTGCACAATACGTTTGCAATTGACATGTTTGCACTTTAAATATGTTTACAATTTTAATTTATGTTAAGTTACTTGAAAAATGAGAAAAACTGATATTTGTAATTGTTTCTCTCAGGGCTTTTATCACCTCTGGTGTGAGTTTAAAATATAAGTGCGTTAGCACTGTGTTGATTATCCCTAATATAAATAAATGTTTATTTATTCAATGTTTCTCTTCTTTAATATGCAATTGAAGTTATGCTATTCATGGATAAAAAATCGTGATAAAATTGAAATCGTGATAAAATATTGGAAAAATCGTGATATTCTATTTTTGCCATATCGCCCAGTCCTACACGTAAGCTTCATTTATATGAAGTTGCATCGCTGCAGTACTTTTATTTTGAAAATTACTGGGGATTTTACCCTGAAACAGTGTGATTTCCTGTCTAGCCCTATGTTAGCTGCAGAAATTGACACGTCCCAGAAGCGGCTCACGGCAAAAATAGAACCCAATCCTATCTTTAGCAGCGCTGCGCAGCACGGCGTGCTGCTTCTGGGACACGCCTGAAAATCGTGGCGTCACTGCTGGTTTGAAGCTGTCCATAGACTGCAACGGATTCCATCTGAAGCAGTGACGTTCTGCTGCTGTTCCGCACCGCTGATGCTTTCAGCGTGAAACCGGAGGCAGACAGATAAGAGGAGAACCACTCCAGAGCAGATCCTGATAGGCCTACCCAGTCTCTCAGCTTCTCCAGTAGCAGGTGATGGTCAACAGTGTCAAAGGCTGCAGTCAGGTCCAGCAGGACCAAAACAGTCCCCTATATCACTGTGGGTCAGAAGGTCACTAGAGACCCTAAGAAGAGAGGTTTCAGTAAGGAATGGGTACGTGACCAATCAAGCCTTGTGGAGGATTTCAGACTAAAATAAACACACCAATAGTGTCACGTTCAAAATCCAAAATGCAACATCACTAAAGAAGCCCATGTATCTTATATTACAAGTGGGTATGGCCCCCTTGAGGACACCGCTTAGCACTGCCCCTGGTCAGGACTAAAACCATTGAATACAGTTCAAATAAAGTTATGCCAACTACAACACTGCCTTTGAATGCTTTTTACACCGAAGAGCAAATGTTTATGAGACCTAAACTCTGAGAATAATGACTTCAATATAAACACATTTTAGAAACTCGGTGACGCCGTGTGGCAGGAAAATGATCCAGTGCAGAGAAAAGAGTCATTTTAAAGAATATGATGACATTAGTTGTGTCAGTAGGCCTTAGGCAACTAGTCAGTATTCAGCCACAGTAATCAGAGTAGTGCTAATATTATCATCTGTGAGACTGTTGGTTATTGACCGGCTGAGTAGCAAAAGCTGGCCCAGATCAGATTAGATGAGGGTTAAGTGATGCGTCTTAAAAGTAAATACTCCATTATCTGTGTCCTAAATGATTTTCTGTCAAGCCTGTGTTAAAAAGGGTGATAAGTGTCAAAACGCAGCTTCGGAAACTGTAATAGCTCATTATTCTAAACAAATGACCTTTAAGGAATCAAATGGAGACCAGTTTTATTGGTTAATTGTAAAATTGACTAGATATAAAATCAAACATGCCAAAAGAAAAAGCTATTATTTTCTAATTATGATCTTTACGGTCCTGAAATCAAGCGTTCTTTAAAAACCTTTCACAATAAGAGTCCTAGGCCAAAACCTTTTATTAAATTTGAAGTTCATAATGCACAGCCTCCAACCGGCTTAGTGATGGCTGAATAATGTCTTGGTCTGCAGACTATAATCAAATCTTTAGGTGTGTTATAGAAGAGAGGCTGAGTCGTGAGATCTTACGCTCCAGAATTCCCGAGGGGGCGGAATGATTCAGACTGTCGCTGCTGTTGCCGCTATCGCTGCAGGAAACCTCATCATCATCCGACCCCTGCAGCGACAAGCAGGAGGAGGGGCCCTCATCAAGTTTCCTCTTTAGAATTCCACTCATCATGTAGCTCCGCCCACTGGCCACACCTGTTCAGCACAGACCAATTAAAACTCACAGGTGACCACAGAATTGAGCTAACACTTAACTTGGCACACAGCAGCTCACAGAACAGATTTTGCATTTGTATCAGACAAAAAACAGCTAAACATGTTAAAATTTAAATACATCTAATTAAAACACACATTTTTATTTGAGATTGTAAAACAACATGTTAGCATTTCAATCCTCTCAAACTTCTTATTTTTATTTTAAACACACAACTGTAACTATTGAACAACAACGCTGATAATTTAATTCCTACTTTATTAAACCCTAAATTAGTGCAACAACTTCTGAATGCCAGGGTCGAGCAGCTAAATCCAAAAGCTTGTGCGCTAGCTTTTAACGCGCTACCTAGCTAAATTGAGGAACTGTTAAAATCAACGACTGAATTTTAACATAATAATGGCATAAACAATTATTTATAAAGTATAAATTTCAATCTAAATATGTATAATCAAAATTACATAAGTGATTTTCATCTAAATATAAATTTTATTCTGAGTGTTTGAAATCTAAATGGAGCATTTAAAGAGCAAGTCACCCCCAAATCAACATTTTTGTTCTGATAAACTATATAAATGTGTGTCTAATCGTGCTGCAGACACGTGTAGTCAATAGTTTTGCACTTTAGTGCATTTTAGTTAAAACTTTAATTTTCTGCCTGAAACTGTCAGTGTTGTGCCGTTGTCAGGTAAAAACTCTGCACTGCATTTGAATTTAAATCTGCCATCGCTATTGGCTAAGAGGTACCCTAGATGTCACAATGTCATTGTGAGCCTGTGTGTGTGTATTTGTTAGCGGCCCCGCCCTCTCGGTCTGCTAGGCAACAGCATTTGTTGCATTTTTCAAACAGGAAGTGGGAGTGGAGTAAGAATCTGGTAGGGGGTGACTTGCTCTTTAACCAGGGTGAGGAGATCTAAAGCCTCAAGAGTTCCTTTGGTCACATCATATGAGTCCTTTCACATTATTTTGAGTTGTGATTGAATGAACTCACACAACATTACAATTAAAAGCATGACGAGGCTTTATATGGGGGATTAGTTCGCCCCTGCTTTCACTTTGGTAGGCTACTTTTGTTTCCAGTAGTTAGAAGTTTTATTCGCAACTATGATGCTAGGCGTCAACAAAAAGTGATTTCCTGTTAGCCTAAAACAGGGATTCCCTAAGTGTGGTGCGCGCACCCCTGGAGGTGCAAGAGCTGCCACTAGGGGGTGCGCGAGGTGAAAATTGTAATGGCTGCGGAGCTCAAAGAAGTCTATCATATGTCGCCATTAGCGTAGCCAGAAACTCATTTGTGGGTGGGCCTAAGAAAAAGTAAGTGGGCACAATAAATGTAATTGAAAACAAGTATATTTTGTGTGTGTGTGTGTGTGTGTGTGTGTGTGTGTGTGTGTGTGTGTGTGTGTGTGTGTCCTCCGCATGTGCCCATAGCTTCATAAGAATAATGCGCCGAGCTTCAGCGCTCTGGCCTGCGCACGCTGTCAATAGCAAGATATGTTCTGTATTTGATCATTTTTAACGATGTTGGAGAAATCTGAAGGTGGCGAGTCATTCTGGCAGATGTAACACCTGTCTCATGCAGGTGTTCTGACATTGTAAACCTCACACACAGAACATTGTGGATGTAACTAAATAAATCAAGAAATGATTACCATCTGAGCATTTTAGCATTATTATATTATATTAGCACACTGACTGTGGAACAGCATTCTAAACGTGTCAGGCTATTAACAGCGCGCTGAAGATCTGAAGTTCAGAGTGCGTCTGTCAGAGGTCAGACGCGTTCCAGCGGATCCACGGTTCACGGGTGCACATGTGAGCACATCTGGGCTGGGCAGAAGTAGTTTTACAACATTGGTTTAAATAGCGCCAATAACAAGATGCAGTGACTGGAGCGGCTAATGGAGCTATGCTGCACATACACACACACATACATACACACACAGATTCAATAAGGGCAAGCTGCGCAAACGCCGCGCCGTCAGACTGAAGACAGAAATGAGCGCTGCCTCCTCCGTGATAAAAAACTTTTAAGAGGTTTTATAACAACATTTTTTATTCAAAGTCAAATTAAGATATTAGCTTCTATTTTGGGATGACGTATTAAAATCGGGTCCGCTCCAGCCAGTGACTCCGAACCTGACCACAACTCCTGTTACTGCAGCATTTGTTATTCCAGTCCGCGTGGCAGCGGATCGCAGATTCAGCCACACCATGAAACAGCAATAAGTCGGTCTGAGGCAAAAGTGAACCTCATGGCTATAGCTTTTCCATCTTTTCCCCTATAGACACTTGATTACACACAAGTAGGTTAGCAGCTCAGGTTTACGCAGAGCAGAAGGAAGGAGAGCGCTCTGGCCGCACAGGTTAAACGTTCCTACTTTAAAAAAACCGTTAAATTGCATTGTTTATGTGCTACCTGGGCACTCTAAATATTTATTTAAAATAAATCAAAGGAAATTGTAATGGTATCGAATGTTTTTTAATTACTATTTTAAAAATGAAAGTGATGGGAAAAAGGTCGATCATATTTTTAACCCTGTCTGACGAGTGACTGTTTAGCTTGACGTCTGATATATATATATATAGCCATGCCCTGATGTGGGGCTGGGGGGGGCGTCGACATGGTCGGGACATAGAAGGGGGTGCGCGGCTAAATAAGTTTGGGAACCGCTAGCCTAAAACTTCATGAAGCAGTTGCTTTCAGTTACAGCAGAAACTGATATTAGCTCTGAACAAATGCGGGTTTTATTAGAAAGAGCCGTGCATCGTGGCAAGGTTGGTAGCGTTAATGAAAGAAGGTTGCATGTTTGAACCCCGGCTGCACACGTTCTGCGCAGAGTTAGCATGCTATTCCCTAGCATGCTTGGGTTTCAATAGCATGCATGCTAGGCTGATTGGAAACTAAATAGGAGGGACTAGTTGTTTGTCTCTGTCGCTGTACAGTTTTACCTGTTGGGTTTGATTCTGTAGTTTTGTTACTGCTTTTCTTTGGAAGCACTCCGCGAGCCCATCGAAGACAAAACCTGGTAAATGATCAGATTTCTTTGGTGTCAGAATCAACAGCTCATCAGAATGCATTCATGTGTGAGTTTACAAGCTTTATGGGGTATTAGAAATTAAAATAAAATCATGATATATTATGCGATTCGCTATGAACGATATCTTTTATTAGCTGCTTGAAAACACTGGAGGAGCCTGTTCTGTCAGTCAGGATCTCATCTAATGAGGCGAATCTTTAGGAGAACAAACTTCAGTATTAAGTCAACTTTAGGAATGAGAGGAACGAGCCGACTAGTTGGAGTGGTTGAGGATTACATCACATGCAGCAGAACTGAATGCCAGGCCAAGGTTTCTCTATCTGCACAGCTTTGTCCCTTTTTCTGCTCTGCTTCCAACTCCAACATTTCTGGCATGTTTAAAAGAAAATCTCCCTTCCTCAGAAATCCTATTTAGATCTTGCCTACCAGTAAAAGAAGACAGTGAAGCCACCAGGACTGTATGAATGTTCTAATCCATATCACTAAAGACTGGTGCCAGCTGAGGGGTCTTCACATACATACATGCACAACCTCCCACTCCTACATTCATGTCTACATCCCAAACCCTGACATAGGACTTCTTCCTGACAGATAGAAGTCAGCGCCACCTCGTGACGTAATTAGACCTCTGAGAGCCTGTGATGCTAAACGCCTGTGAGCCGGTCTCATCACTGACCTGTTTCCTCGGCTTGCTCTTGGTTCCCAGTTCTGGACTCTCCCCTCTGCATCACGCGGTGTTCAGCAGCAGCAGCAGTTAAACATCCCTGTGTGTCGTGACGATGCAGCGAGCTCTGACATGATGTCCTCTCCTCCCAGCAGCTTCTGGCACTATTGTGCAGCCCTGAACACCTCTGCCTGTTTGAATGTCTTATGCCTGCTCCCTCTGCACCCTTATGCTGTCAGCTCTCTCGCTGTCTGATTTTCTCCTCCTCTGCAACCCCTCCTTCCTCTGCTCGTCTCCCCCTCGCCTCACAAAGGCTTGTTAGCTTGGTGCTGCTGCCGGCTGTAAGCGCTGGAGCTTGACAGAGGTGAAGCAAGCCCTACGAGATCATAGGAGGATGGAGCATGTATGGTGTGGTACTGAGGCTGAAGGGGGGGGGGGGATAATAGAAAAAATATCTAGAACGCAAATGTATTTTTTTTTTCATTTGTGATCACCCACTTTTGTTTCTGTGAAGATCATTAGAATTTTAAATTGAGATCAGACAAACAGGACTAATTATAGTGCTGTGCCATACCAATTGTAGAAAATAATGAGTACCTCTCTGTCTCTCTCTCGCTCTCCCTATATATATATATATATATATATATATATATATATATACATATTAGGACTGTGACTTTAACGTGTTAATTGATTAATTAGAAGAAAAAGACGCATTAAAAAAATTTGCGCATTTAATCACAGCTCGCATTTGGAGCAAGGCGGAACCTTTCTCATTGCACGATTTCCTCGTAGACCGAATATCACTGACACACACAACAATGCACAGTGCTAATGGCTACTAAAACGGAATAAAAACTGAAAGAAGTTGCCTTGCTTGGACTGATGCAGGATTTAGGAAACACGTCCACCTCTTTTCTTAACTATGAAAAAATAAACTTCCAGACAACAACGAAGTCCGTATCGCGGGCATTTTTCAGAGATCGTCTGTGCTGCAGCTGCCCGGTGGCACCGGAAACTTTACAAAAGTTGCGGTAACCTAAATTTTCAACATTTACGTAACATCTGTGCAGCGCTTAAAGCACCAGACAGAATAATTCTTTGCCCTAACAGTAGTTTATGAAAGTAGTCAGACAAACGAGAGGCAAATGGCTGCAGATGGGAAAATGCTCCGTGTCCTCACTACTCTGATTTTAGTTGATTTGGGTCTTGTTTCATATCACACAGTGACATTTGAATAATTAAAATGCATTTTTTAATTTAAAAGCTTTAGCTGACAGTAATAACCATGTCTAATGTTTGATTCTCTGTCTCATACTTTTAATTAAAAGTTTTGCTTTGAGAGCACATTTTTTGAACGATTAAAATGCGATTAATTTATATTAATTAATTACAAAGCCTCTAATTAATTAGATTAAAAATTTTAATCGAGTCTCGGCGCTAATACACACACACACACACACACACATATATATATATATACATATATATATATATATATACACACATATATATATATGTATACATATATATATATATATATATGTATACATATATATATATATATATATATATATATATATGTATACATATATATATATATATATATATATATATATATATATATATATGTATACATATATATATATATATATATATATATATATATATATATATATACACACATATATATATATGTATACATATATATATATATGTATACATATATATATATATATATATATATATATATGTATACATATATATATATATATATATATATATATATATATATATGTATACATATATATATATATATATATATATATATATATATATATATATATATATATATATATGTATATATACATAGAAGAAGAAGTAAGTATCATTTCTATAGCGCCTCAAGATAAAAATCACGAGGCGCTTCACAAAAACAAAAAATGTAAAAATATAAAAAAGTATTTAGAAAATATTTAAAAATATATTTAAAATGAGCAAAAATAGACAATTGTGATTAAAAAAAATTTTAAGAAAGAGAGAGAGTGAACAGGAAAGAGGGAAATCAGTGGATCCTGAGGAAGGTGGAATAGGTGGGGAGAGCAGAATAAAGAGAGAGAGGTGAAGAAGGTCATACAAAAGCCAGCTTGAACAAGTGAGTCTTCAGCTGCTTTTTGAAGGAGACCACTGAGTCCACTGATCTCAGGCTCAGGGGGAGAGAGTTACAGAGTCTGGGGGCCACAGCATCAGATGATCTGTCACCTTTGGTCTTTAGCCTGGTGCTGCACAACCAGTAGGCTTTGATCACTGGACCTCAGGGACCTGCTGGGGGTGTAGGGACTAAGAAGATCACCAATGTAAGATGGTGCTTGTCCATGTAAGGCCCTATAGACCAGAACCAGGATCTTGAAATGAACCCTGAAGTTGACTGGCAGCCAGTGAAGCTGGAGGAGAAGCGGAGTGATGTGGGTGTGTTTGGAGGACTTGGTCAGAAGCCGAGCACAGGCGTTCTGAACCACCTGTAGACGGTTCAGGGAGGTTCTGCTCAGACACGTGAAAAGAGAGTTACAGTAGTCTAAGCGTGGGGAGATGAAGGTGTGGAGAACTGTCTCAAGTTCAGAGCGGGACAGAATGGGACTCATCTTAGCAACGTTCCTGAGATGGAAGAAGGAAGAGCGAACAAGAGAAGTGACATGAGAATCCAGGGTGAGAGCTGGGTCAAAGGTCATGCCAAGATTCCTGACAGAAGGTTTGGTGTGAGAAGCAAGCTGACCAAGAGAGTCTCTGACTTTGGGAACCAGCTTGTCTGGGGCACTGATGAGGATCTCAGTCTTATCTTCATTCAGCTGTAGAAAGCTCCCACCATCCAGGTTCTGATAGAGTCTAAGCAGGTGTGTAAAAGCTGCAGCTTAGACATCTCATGGGGCTTAAAGGAGATGTACAGTTGGATGTCATCTGCATAAATATACACACATATATACATATGTATTTCTATGAAATTCAGCTACATGTGGAGCAGATGTGACACATCTGGTTTTAAAGTGTTCAGATTAATTCCCTACATTTTAACTTTCAGTATTTGTCTAACAAAGCGCCATCTATAGACTCAATCTTGCAGGTGTGTGAGGTAATCACTCATCTTCGTAAGTAAAACTGAAATGTTTTTCATTAAAGGGTTAATCATTGAGTCTGATCGTTAATCTCACAGAAAACAACACGCATTGAAAGCGTCCGTTTCCTGTCATAACAAGACTTAACGCTAAGAACAAAAAGCAAGAGCAAGTAAGTGTACTTTGTTACATTAGAATATTGATGTTTGGTTTATCGCATTTCCTGCTGAATCTAGTATTTAGTGAAATCATGACCGCGTTTCAGTTTTACTGAAGAAAACACGCATTTCCAGATAAAAGGTGTGTTTTCTCACAAACATTTCAATACGTCTAATATTTGGGATGACTAACATAAAATCAGTGTTATTAACTAGTATGTGATTACCCACCCCACCCCCACCCACAGGTTCCCCTCTGTAGTTGCTATAGCGATGGCAGACCCTGAATGTTCGGTCCGCTCATTATAGTCATGCAGCCTTGAGTTTGTATGATGGGAACGCAGAGTGTGTGTTAAAGTCTGCATTTTGTTTGTGTGTGATGGTTCTTTGGATCTAATTCTGCTGCAAGGAAAGGAAAACCGTCATGGATTCACTTTTAGTGCTGCTTCATTGTTCCAGGCTCCTGCCTAGAATAAATGAGTGGTGCATTAAAACAGTGTTAAGTTAGATGTAACACGCTGTAAGAACCTCGGTGCATGTTTGTGTTTGACCGTTACGGTCAGAGAATGAAGGGTGATTTTTTTTTCCCGTCTGCTCCAGATTCAGGATGGTTTTGGGTTTTAGAATCGGAATTCTCTGGTTTTCCTTTGGCTCAGATGGAGCATCAATGTGCAGGGGAGACAGAGCGAGCCATCCAATCAGCTTCCATGGCAACGAGCCGGGGAGGGATGGAGAGTGAGGGGATGAGGAGGAGGAGGAGGGAGGCGGCTCGAGGGGCTGTGGGGGCTGGGATGTGGCTGAAGCCTCTGGTTTTTCATAGTGAGGAGATCCTGGAGCTCAGGAATGTGGAGTCAGAGCCACTCGGCTTTATAACATCCCAGTTCAACAAAACGAAGAGACACGATGGTGAAGTCGCTGATGAGATTTAATGTAAAGCTAAAAATAGAAGGACCTGCAATGTTTGAGATTGTTGTTTCCATAATGACTCATTTTAATGAGCTCCACGAACATCTGCTGTATCTGGATGTTCCACAATATTTCATCAGCTCGCCTTATCTCCTGGTTTTAGATCTTATCTGTGGGTTTAAAACTTCTTCTAACTGATGAATATGTGACATGTGACTGGGACAGCATCGATGCAGGTCAACATAGCTCCAATATGCTAAATGGAACGGGACCTGTACATAGGTTAGAGCTAATGCCCCGATTTAATAACAATCAAAAAACTAAAACAAAAGGTTTTTTCACGATAATTACAAATACCGTAAATTCTGGACTATAGAGCACACCTCAATATAAGCCGCACCAACAAAAAAAAGGTTTTCTGCACACACACGCCACACTCGAATACAAGCCGCGGCGCAGCAGCCACATGCAGGTCTCCGGCGCACAGCGCATGTACGGCCATAACATACGATAATTAGACAGAAAGACGCTGCACGGAGGTTTTTCGTTGTTGTTTTAATTCAACAAAACAAATTTTAAACACAGGTGAACGTGCCTGCAAGTTTAGAAAATAAAACAGCGCTGATAGCATTCATATTTCTGGATGGTTATAAAATAAAAACAGAACTGACACGTTATTACCGGTAATTTGCATGTTTAGAAGAAAAGAACAGCGCTGACACAGCATTAATAAGCCCTGGATGATTAGA